GAGGACAGACTGAGGACAGACTGAGGACAGAGGACTGACAGAGGACAGACAGAGGACAGACTGAGGACAGACAGAGGACAGACTGAGGACAGACTGAGGACAGAGGACTGACAGAGGACAGACAGAGGACAGACTGAGGACAGACTGAGGACAGACTGAGGACAGACAGAGGACAGACAGAGGACAGACTGAGGACAGAGGACAGACTGAGGACAGAGGACAGACTGAGGACAGACTGAGGACAGACTGAGGACAGAGGACTGACAGAGGACAGACAGAGGACAGACTGAGGACAGACAGAGGACAGACTGAGGACAGACAGAGGACAGACTGAGGACAGACAGAGGACAGACTGAGGACAGACAGAGGACAGACTGAGGACAGACAGAGGACAGACAGAGGACAGACAGAGGACAGACTGAGGACAGACTGAGGACAGACAGAGGACAGACAGAGGACAGACTGAGGACAGACAGAGGACAGACTGAGGACAGACTGAGGACAGACTGAGGACAGACAGAGGACAGACAGAGGACAGACAGAGGACAGACAGAGGACAGACTGAGGACAGACAGAGGACAGACTGAGGACAGAGGACAGACTGAGGACAGACAGAGGACAGACTGAGGACAGACAGAGGACAGACTGAGGACAGACAGAGGACAGACTGAGGACAGACAGAGGACAGACTGAGGACAGACAGAGGACAGACTGAGGACAGACTGAGGACAGACTGAGGACAGACTGAGGACAGACTGAGGACAGACAGAGGACAGACTGAGGACAGACTGAGGACAGACTGAGGACAGACAGAGGACAGACTGAGGACAGACAGAGGACAGACTGAGGACAGACAGAGGACAGACTGAGGACAGACAGAGGACAGACTGAGGACAGACTGAGGACAGACTGAGGACAGACTGAGGACAGACAGAGGACAGACTGAGGAAAGACAGAGGACAGACTGAGGACAGACAGAGGACAGACAGAGGACAGACAGAGGACAGACTGAGGACAGACTGAGGACAGACAGAGGACTGACAGAGGACAGACAGAGGACAGACAGAGGACAGACAGAGGACAGACTGAGGACAGACAGAGGACTGACAGAGGACAGACAGAGGACAGACTGAGGACAGACAGAGGACAGACTGAGGACAGACTGAGGACTGACAGAGGACAGACAGAGGACAGACAGAGGACAGACTGAGGACAGACAGAGGACAGACTGAGGACAGACTGAGGACAGAGGACTGACAGAGGACAGACAGAGGACAGACAGAGGACAGACTGAGGACAGACAGAGGACAGACTGAGGACAGACTGAGGACAGAGGACTGACAGAGGACAGACAGAGGACAGACTGAGGACAGACAGAGGACAGACTGAGGACAGACTGAGGACAGACTGAGGACAGACTGAGGACAGAGGACTGACAGAGGACAGACAGAGGACAGACTGAGGACAGACAGAGGACAGACTGAGGACAGACTGAGGACAGACTGAGGACAGAGGACTTACAGAGGACAGACAGAGGACAGACTGAGGACAGACAGAGGACAGACTGAGGACAGACTGAGGACAGACTGAGGACAGACTGAGGACAGAGGACTGACAGAGGACAGACAGAGGACAGACTGAGGACAGAGGACTGACAGAGGACAGACAGAGGACAGACTGAGGACAGACAGAGGACAGACTGAGGACAGACTGAGGACAGACTGAGGACAGAGGACTGACAGAGGACAGACAGAGGACAGACTGAGGACAGACTGAGGACAGACTGAGGACAGACAGAGGACAGACAGAGGACAGACTGAGGACAGACTGAGGACAGACAGAGGACAGACTGAGGACAGACTGAGGACAGAGGACTGACAGAGGACAGACAGAGGACAGACTGAGGACAGACAGAGGACAGACTGAGGACAGACAGAGGACAGACTGAGGACAGACAGAGGACAGACTGAGGACAGACAGAGGACAGACTGAGGACAGACAGAGGACAGACAGAGGACAGACAGAGGACAGACTGAGGACAGACTGAGGACAGACAGAGGACAGACAGAGGACAGACTGAGGACAGACAGAGGACAGACTGAGGACAGACTGAGGACAGACTGAGGACAGACAGAGGACAGACAGAGGACAGACAGAGGACAGACTGAGGACAGACTGAGGACAGACAGAGGACTGACAGAGGACAGACAGAGGACAGACAGAGGACAGACAGAGGACAGACTGAGGACAGACAGAGGACTGACAGAGGACAGACAGAGGACAGACTGAGGACAGACAGAGGACAGACTGAGGACAGACAGAGGACTGACAGAGGACAGACAGAGGACAGACTGAGGACAGACAGAGGACAGACTGAGGACAGACTGAGGACAGAGGACTGACAGAGGACAGACAGAGGACAGACAGAGGACAGACAGAGGACAGACTGAGGACAGACAGAGGACAGACTGAGGACAGACTGAGGACAGAGGACTGACAGAGGACAGACAGAGGACAGACTGAGGACAGACAGAGGACAGACTGAGGACAGACTGAGGACAGACTGAGGACAGACTGAGGACAGAGGACTGACAGAGGACAGACAGAGGACAGACTGAGGACAGACAGAGGACAGACTGAGGACAGACTGAGGACAGAGGACTTACAGAGGACAGACAGAGGACAGACTGAGGACAGACAGAGGACAGACTGAGGACAGACTGAGGACAGACTGAGGACAGACTGAGGACAGAGGACTGACAGAGGACAGACAGAGGACAGACTGAGGACAGACTGAGGACAGACTGAGGACAGACTGAGGACAGAGGACTGACAGAGGACAGACAGAGGACAGACTGAGGACAGACAGAGGACAGACTGAGGACAGACTGAGGACAGACTGAGGACAGAGGACTGACAGAGGACAGACAGAGGACAGACTGAGGACAGACTGAGGACAGACTGAGGACAGACAGAGGACAGACAGAGGACAGACTGAGGACAGACTGAGGACAGACAGAGGACAGACTGAGGACAGAGGACAGACTGAGGACAGACTGAGGACAGACTGAGGACAGAGGACTGACAGAGGACAGACAGAGGACAGACTGAGGACAGACAGAGGACAGACTGAGGACAGACAGAGGACAGACTGAGGACAGACAGAGGACAGACTGAGGACAGGAGGACAGACAGAGGACAGACTGAGGACAGACAGAGGACAGACTGAGGACAGACTGAGGACAGACTGAGGACAGACTGAGGACAGAGGACTGACAGAGGACAGACAGAGGACAGACTGAGGACAGACAGAGGACAGACTGAGGACAGACTGAGGACAGAGGACTTACAGAGGACAGACAGAGGACAGACTGAGGACAGACAGAGGACAGACTGAGGACAGACTGAGGACAGACTGAGGACAGACTGAGGACAGAGGACTGACAGAGGACAGACAGAGGACAGACTGAGGACAGACTGAGGACAGACTGAGGACAGACTGAGGACAGAGGACTGACAGAGGACAGACAGAGGACAGACTGAGGACAGACAGAGGACAGACTGAGGACAGACTGAGGACAGACTGAGGACAGAGGACTGACAGAGGACAGACAGAGGACAGACTGAGGACAGACTGAGGACAGACTGAGGACAGACAGAGGACAGACAGAGGACAGACTGAGGACAGACAGAGGACAGACTGAGGACAGACTGAGGACAGACAGAGGACAGACTGAGGACAGAGGACAGACTGAGGACAGACAGAGGACAGACTGAGGACAGAGGACAGACTGAGGACAGACTGAGGACAGACTGAGGACAGAGGACTGACAGAGGACAGACAGAGGACAGACTGAGGACAGACAGAGGACAGACTGAGGACAGACAGAGGACAGACTGAGGACAGACAGAGGACAGACTGAGGACAGACAGAGGACAGACAGAGGACAGACTGAGGACAGACAGAGGACAGACTGAGGACAGACTGAGGACAGACTGAGGACAGACAGAGGACAGACAGAGGACAGACAGAGGACAGACTGAGGACAGACTGAGGACAGACAGAGGACAGACTGAGGACAGAGGACAGACTGAGGACAGACAGAGGACAGACTGAGGACAGACAGAGGACAGACTGAGGACAGACAGAGGACAGACTGAGGACAGACAGAGGACAGACTGAGGACAGACTGAGGACAGACTGAGGACAGACAGAGGACAGACAGAGGACAGACAGAGGACAGACTGAGGACAGACAGAGGACAGACTGAGGACAGACAGAGGACAGACTGAGGACAGAGGACAGACAGAGGACAGACTGAGGACAGACAGAGGACAGACTGAGGACAGACTGAGGACAGACTGAGGACAGACTGAGGACAGACAGAGGACAGACAGAGGACAGACTGAGGACAGACTGAGGACAGACTGAGGACAGACTGAGGACAGACAGAGGACAGACAGAGGACAGACAGAGGACAGACTGAGGACAGACTGAGGACAGACAGAGGACAGACTGAGGACAGAGGACAGACTGAGGACAGACAGAGGACAGACTGAGGACAGACAGAGGACAGACTGAGGACAGACAGAGGACAGACTGAGGACAGACAGAGGACAGACTGAGGACAGACTGAGGACAGACTGAGGACAGACAGAGGACAGACAGAGGACAGACAGAGGACAGACTGAGGACAGACAGAGGACAGACTGAGGACAGACTGAGGACAGACTGAGGACAGACTGAGGACAGACTGAGGACAGACTGAGGACAGACTGAGGACAGACAGAGGACAGACTGAGGACAGACAGAGGACAGACAGAGGACAGACAGAGGACAGACTGAGGACAGACAGAGGACAGACTGAGGACAGACTGAGGACAGACTGAGGACAGACTGAGGACAGACTGAGGACAGACTGAGGACAGAGGACTTACAGAGTGTGTAATTTCCAGGGCTGCCGGTCTTCAGTCGTGTGGCAGAGAACACTGAGGACGTGGCTGCGTTTAACCAGGTGAGTCTGTGATGTCACACCTTCACGAGCTCCTGATGTACCATGGACTCATTTAGATATCATTTACATATAATCTGTATAATCTGCATCAGAATCAGAATCTTTTTTATTGCCACGTAAGTAACAGGAGGTCACAGACTTGGAAATTGCTTTGGCTCAGTGCAACAGTCAGAAAAAGATAATAAAAATAAGAATAAAAAACACTTCTAAAGAATACATTTAAATTTAAAATAGAGTTACAGTTACTATTTACAATATACAAGTGCACATGGTGCACACAATGTAAGGTGACAGCAGTACAGTGAAGTAAAGTGACGTATGATGGGCAGTAAAGTGACTTTATAAAGGGCGGGGGGACAGGTTAAGAAGTGTTCAAGAGTCCAACAGCAGAGGGGAAGAAACTGTTCTTGTGGCGGGAGGTTCTAGTCCTGATGGACCGCAGCCTCCTGCCTGAGGGGAGTGGTTGGAATAGTCCATGTGCAGGTGAGAGGGGAGTGGTTGAATAGTCCATGTGCAGGGTGAGAGGGGAGTGGTTGGAATAGTCCATGTGCAGGGTGAGAGGGGAGTGGTTGGAATAGTCCATGTGCAGGTGAGAGGGGAGTGGTTGGAATAGTCCATGTGCAGGTGAGAGGGGAGTGGTTGGAATAGTCCATGTGCAGGTGAGAGGGGAGTGGTTGGAATAGTCCATGTGCAGGTGAGAGGGGAGTGGTTGGAATAGTCCATGTGCAGGTGAGAGGGGAGTGGTTGGAATAGTCCATGTGCAGGTGAGAGGGGAGTGGTTGGAATAGTCCATGTGCAGGTGAGAGGGGAGTGGTTGGAATAGTCCATGTGCAGGTGAGAGGGGAGTGGTTGGAATAGTCCATGTGCAGGTGAGAGGGGAGTGGTTGGAATAGTCCATGTGCAGGTGAGAGGGGAGTGGTTGGAATAGTCCATGTGCAGGTGAGAGGGGAGTGGTTGGAATAGTCCATGTGCAGGTGAGAGGGGAGTGGTTGGAATAGTCCATGTGCAGGTGAGAGGGGAGTGGTTGGAATAGTCCATGTGCAGGTGAGAGGGGAGTGGTTGGAATAGTCCATGTGCAGGTGAGAGGGGAGTGGTTGGAATAGTCCATGTGCAGGTGAGAGGGGAGTGGTTGGAATAGTCCATGTGCAGGTGAGAGGGGAGTGGTGAATGTCGAGTGGTAGTCCATGTGCAGGTGAGAGGGGAGTGGTTGGAATAGTCCATGTGCAGGTGAGAGGGGAGTGGTTGGAATAGTCCATGTGCAGGTGAGAGGGGAGTGGTTGGAATAGTCCATGTGCAGGTGAGAGGGGAGTGGTTGGAATAGTCCATGTGCAGGTGAGAGGGGAGTGGTTGGAATAGTCCATGTGCAGGTGAGAGGGGAGTGGTTGGAATAGTCCATGTGCAGGTGAGAGGGGAGTGGTTGGAATAGTCCATGTGCAGGTGAGAGGGGAGTGGTTGGAATAGTCCATGTGCAGGTGAGAGGGGTCGGCTGTGATACGACCAGCCCGGCCTCGAGCTCGGGCGACGTACAGGTCCTGCAGCGATGGAAGGCTGCGGCCGATCACTTCCTCTGCAGAGCGCACAATGCGCTGTAGTCTCTGTTTGTCCCTGACTGTGGCTCCAGAACCACACGGTGACGGAGGAGGTGATGGAGGAGCTGATAGAGGAGGTGGATGGAGGAGGTGATGGAGGTGCTGGAGGAGGTGATGGAGGAGGTGATGGAGGAGGTGATGGAGGAGGAGGTGATGGAGGAGGTGACGGAGGAGGTGACGGAGGAGGTGATGGAGGAGGTGATGGAGGAGGTGATAGAGAAGGTGATGGTGGAGGTGATGGAGGAGGTGATGGAGGAGGAGATGGAGGAGGTGCTGGAGGAGGTGATGGAGGAGGTGATGGAGAAGGTGCTGGAGGAGGTGATGGAGGAGGTGATGGAGGAGGTGATGGAGGACGTGGTGGTGGAGGACGTGGTGGTGGAGGAGGTGATGGAGGAGGTGATGGAGGAGGTGATGGAGGAGGAGATGGAGGAGGTGATGGAGGAGGTGATGGAGGAGGTGATGGTGGAGGTGATGGAGGAGGTGATGGAGGAGGTGATGGAGGAGGTGATGGAGGAGGTGATGGAGGAGGTGATGGAGGAGGTGATGGAGGAGGAGATGGAGGAGGTGATGGAGGAGGAGATGGAGGAGCAGATGGAGGAGGAGATGGAGGAGGTGATGGAGGAGGTGATGGAGGAGGAGATGGAGGAGGAGAAGGAGGAGGTGATGGAGGAGGTGATGGAGGAGGTGATGAGGAGGTGATGGAGGAGGTGATGAGGAGGTGATGGAGGAGGTGATGGAGGAGGAGATGGAGGAGGAGATGGAGGAGGTGATGGAGGAGGTGATGCAGGAGGTGATGGAGGAGGTGATGGAGGAGGAGATGGAGGAGGAGATGGAGGAGGTGATGGAGGAGGTGATGAGGAGGTGATGGAGGAGGTGATGGAGGAGGTGATGGAGGAGGTGACGGAGGAGGTGATGGAGGAGGTGATGGAGGAGGAGATGGAGGAGGAGATGGAGGAGGTGATGGAGGAGGTGATGCAGGAGGTGATGGAGGAAGTGACGGAGGAGGTGACGGAGGAGGTAATGGAGGAGGTGATGGAGGAGGTGATAGAGAAGGTGATGGTGGAGGTGATGGAGGAGGTGATGGAGGAGGTGCTGGAGGAGGTGATGGAGGAGGTGATGGAGAAGGTGCTGGAGGAGGTGATGGAGGAGGTGATGGAGGAGGTGATGGAGGACGTGGTGGTGGAGGACGTGGTGGTGGAGGAGGTGATGGAGGAGGTGATGAGGAGGTGATGGAGGAGGTGATGGAGGAGGTGATGGAGGAGGTGATGGAGGAGGTGATGGTGGAGGTGATGGAGGAGGTGATGGAGGAGGTGATGGAGGAGGTGATGGAGGAGGTGATGAGGAGGTGATGGAGGAGGTGATGGAGGAGGAGATGGAGGAGGTGATGGAGGAGGAGGAGGAGATGGAGGAGATGGAGGAGGAGATGGAGGAGGTGATGGAGGAGGTGATGGAGGAGGTGATGGAGGAGGAGATGGAGGAGGTGATGGAGGAGGTGATGGAGGAGGTGATGGAGGAGGTGATGAGGAGGTGATGGAGGAGGTGATGGAGGAGGTGATGAGGAGGTGATGGAGGAGGTGATGGAGGAGGAGATGGAGGAGGAGATGGAGGAGGTGATGGAGGAGGTGATGCAGGAGGTGATGCAGGAGGTGATGAAGGAGGTGATGGAGGAGGAGATGGAGGAGGAGATGGAGGATGTGATGGAGGAGGTGATGAGGAGGTGATGAGGAGGTGATGGAGGAGGTGATGGAGGAGGTGACGGAGGAGGTGACGGAGGAGGTGATGGAGGAGGAGATGGAGGAGGAGATGGAGGAGGTGATGGAGGAGGTGATGCAGGAGGTGATGGAGGAGGTGATGGAGTAGGTGATGGAGGAGGTGATGGAGGAGGGGATGGAGGAGGTGGTGGAGGAGGTGATGGAGGAGGTGCTGGAGGAGGTGATGGAGGAGGTGATGGAGGAGGTGATGGAGGAGGTGATGGAGGAGGTCAATATCTGTGCAGGCAGCTTGGCTTTCCTGAGCTGCCGCAGGAAGTACATCCTCTGCTGGGCCTTCTTGATGAGGGAGCTGATGGTCGGCTCCCACTTGAGGTCCTGGGTGATGGTGGTGCCCAGGAAACGGAAGGACTCCACAGAGGTGATGGGGGAGTCCATCACGGAGGGTGGGGGCGGGGGGACAGTGCTCTTCCTGAAGTCCACAATCATCTCCACTGTCTTCTGGGCGTTCAGCTCCAGGTTGTTACCACTGCACCAGGACACCAGCCGGTCCACCTCCCTCCTGTAGGAGACACCAGGACACCAGCCGGTCCACCTCCTCCTGTAGGAGACACCAGGACACCAGCCGGTCCACCTCCCTCCTGTAGGAGACACCAGGACACCAGCCGGTCCACCTCCCTCCTGTAGGAGACACCAGGACACCAGCCGGTCCACCTCCCTCCTGTAGGAGACACCAGGACACCAGCCGGTCCACCTCCCTCCTGTAGGAGACACCAGGACACCAGCCGGTCCACCTCCCTCCTGTAGGAGACACCAGGACACCAGCCGGTCCACCTCCCTCCTGTAGGAGACACCAGGACACCAGCCGGTCCACCTCCCTCCTGTAGGAGACACCAGGACACCAGCCGGTCCACCTCCCTCCTGTAGGAGACACCAGGACACCAGCCGGTCCACCTCCCTCCTGTAGGCGGACTCATCGTTGTTGGAGATGAGTCCAATGAGGGTGGTGTCGTCCGCGAACTTGATCAGCTTCACGGAGTCGTGGCTGGAGGTGCAGTGGTTGGTGTACAGGGAGAAGAGCAGGGGAGAAAGAACACAGCCCTGTGGGGCTCCTGTATTTATAATCCCAGAGTCCAGACATTCTTCCCCAGACGCACTCGCTGCTTCCTGTCCGTCAGGAAGTCAGTGATCCACCTGCAGGTGGAATCGGGCACGTTGAGCTGGGAGAGCTTGTCCTGGAGCAGGGATGGCAGGATTGTGTTGAAGGCAGAGCTGAAGTCCACGAACAGGACCCTGGCGTAGGTCCCCGGGGAGTCCAGGTGCTGTAGGATGTGGTGGAGGGCCAGGTTAATGGCGTCGCCTACAGATCTGTTGGCTCTGTAGGCGAACTGCAGGGGGTCCAGGAGGGGGGAGGTGAGGGACTTGAGATGGGAGAGAACCAGGCGTTCAAATGACTTCATGACGACAGACGTAAGTGCTACAGGTCTGTAGTCATTGAGTCCTGTGATCCTGGGCTTCTTCGGGACGGGGACAATGATGGAGGATTTGAAGCAGGCCGGGACATGGCAGGACTGCAGAGAGGTGTTGAAAATGTCCGTGAACACAGGAGTAAGCTCACTGGGGCAGTGTCTCAGAGTGGCCGGAGACACGTGGTCCGGGCCAGGAGCTTTGCGGGGGTGCAGCCTCAGGAAGAGTTGTTTAATCTCTTTAGAGGCTATTGTTAGGCTGGGGGCAGGGCTGATGGGTGGGTCGTTAGAGTAGTGGGGGGTGGGGGAGAGGTGTCAAGGGCAGCATCAAAGCGACTGAAAAATAAGTTCAGATCGTCAGCTAGCTTGTGGTCATCAGCACAGGGGGGGGCTTTGGGTTTGTAGTTGGTGATCTCCCGTAGGCCCCTCCAGACAGAAGCAGTATCGTTGTTACCAAACTGCTCCTGTAGTCGTTCTCTGTGCCGGGACTTGGCTGCTTTCAGTTCTTTCCTGAACTGATATTTAGCTGCTTTGTAGCCGCTGCGGTCCCCCTCCCTGAAAGCAGACTCCTTTGCTTTCCTGAGCTGCCGGAGTTTAGCAGTGAACCAGGGTTTGTCGTTGTTATAGATGACCCTGGTCCTTGTTGGAATGATGCTATCCTCACAGAAGTGAATGTATGACGTCACAGTGTCCGTGTATTCATCCAAGCTGTCTGTGGCAGCTCTGAAAAGGTCCCAGTCTGTAGATTCCATACATGCAGCTCTTCCACAGCTTCATCAGACCACACTTTGGAGCTCCTCACTGCAGGTTTCGAGAGCTTTAGTCTCTGTCTGTAAGCAGGAACCAGATGTATCATGGAGTGATCTGAGAAGCCGAGGGCTGGCTTGGGAACAGCGTGAAAAGCTCCGCGCACGGTGGTGTAACAGTGATCCAGAGTGTTCTCCTCTCTGGTCGGGCATTTGATAAACTGTCTGTATTTGGGTAATTCCTGGCTCAAGTTTCCCTTATTAAAATCCCCCAGGATAATAATCAGAGAGTCCGGGTATAAACGTTCCATACACAGTACTTGCTCTACGTCCGCGCATGGCGGTATGTAAACAGAGGCAAGAATGAATGAAACAATTTCCCGCGGGGAGTAATATGGTTTACAATGAATGAAAAGATATTCCAGAGCAGGAGAGCAGTGCTTGGAGATCACTGTCACATCGTTACACCAGTTTGTATTGACGTAGAAACAGAGCCCTCCGCCTCTGCTCTTCCCTGAGAGCGCACAATGGCGATCCGTGTGGAACAGCCCAAAGCCCTGCAGCTCCAGAGCGCAGTCCGGGATCCGCTCATTTAGCCAGGTCTCAGTGAAGCAGAGGACACAGAGGACACCAGGTCTCAGTGAAGCAGAGGACACAGAGGACACCAGGTCTCAGTGAAGCAGAGGACACAGAGGACGCCAGGTCTCAGTGAAGCAGAGGACACAGAGGACACCAGGTCTCAGTGAAGCAGAGGACACAGAGGACACCAGGTCTCAGTGAAGCAGAGGACACAGAGGACACCAGGTCTCAGTGAAGCAGAGGACACAGAGGACACCAGGTCTCAGTGAAGCAGAGGACACAGAGGACACCAGGTCTCAGTGAAGCAGAGGACACAGAGGACACCAGGTCTCAGTGAAGCAGAGGACACAGAGGACACCAGGTCTCAGTGAAGCAGAGGACACAGAGGACACCAGGTCTCAGTGAAGCAGAGGACACAGAGGACACCAGGTCTCAGTGAAGCAGAGGACACAGAGGACACCAGGTCTCAGTGAAGCAGAGGACACAGAGGACACCAGGTCTCAGTGAAGCAGAGGACACAGAGGACACCAGGTCTCAGTGAAGCAGAGGACACAGAGGACACCAGGTCTCAGTGAAGCAGAGGACACAGTGGACACCAGGTCTCAGTGAAGCAGAGGACACAGGATGAAGTCCTTGTTTCTTCTCATGAGCAGGCTGAGTTCGTCTTATTGCCCAGTGAGCGTACGTTGGAGAGAAAAATGCCGGGGAGAGGCTCCTCTCCTCCTCAGACGCACGAGCAGCCTCCACGCTTTCCCCTTTTACGGACCCACACTTTTTTGGCTAGAACATGAACTAAATCAGCCGCAGATGCCAAGAAAACAGGCAATAGGTCCATGGGAACGGTGGGTCGGATGTTCATAAGTTCCTCACGGGTGTAGGAACAGCCAGATGCACAGTTAAAAAGTAAAAACAAAAGAAAAAGAGAGCAGCAAAGAGCCATGTCGACCGTACGAGGCGCCATTTTATCGTAATCCGTAATCTATAATTTGTATAATCTATATAATCTATATAATCTGTATAATCTGTATAATTCATATATCTATATAATTTATACATCTATAAAATCTATACAATCTATATAATCTATGTAATCTGTATAATCTGTATAATCTATATATCTATATAATCTATGTAATCTATATAATCTATATAATCTATATAATCTATGTAATCTGTATAATCTATATAATCTATATAATCTATATAATCTATATAATCTGTATAATATACTGGACAGAGCAGAGGGCTCGGTCTTCACTGTTGCATGTTCTCTTTATCTGACGAGGATTTTGTTCTTGGACTAAATGTCCCACAGAAAGATTTGTTCACATTTGTTAGATTACTGTACTCTCTGGACCATAAAGCACACTTGACCATAAAGCACACCTGACCATAAAGCACACCTGACCATAAAGCACACCTGACCATAAAGCACACCAGACTATAAACATGTAGAACACACACGTAGCACATACAGTACATGTATGTGCTACGTGTGTTTCTCTGAATGAAATAAAGACAATAAATAACATCAACGTAAAACGATCACACACTGTGTGTGTGTGTGTGTGTCTGTGTGTGTGTCTGTGTGTGTCTTTTTTTTTTGACCTTCTGCTTCTGAAGAGAGCAGTCGTGTGTCTCTCGGCTCTGCTTTTGCTTCGCCTTTTAATCTCCTTGAATCATTTTATTTACATTTTTTTGTTTCTCCTTTAATCATTTTATTTACAAAACGAGGATTACTCCTTCTACACACTTCAGCTTTGTGGAATTTATCAACTTTAGTCATGTCGGGACGAAAGAGACGGAGAAACGTCTGCGACGGCTGTTGTGCTTTGGAAAATCAGCTCAAATCTCTTCAAACACGGATATCTATTGTGGAAACAGAAATGGGACTTAACCCGACTCTTCCAATGAGTGAAAATGGGATGAATGGACAGACTGGAAATGTAAGTTATGACGTCATTTCTTTTCCCAAAATCAACAATGAGAATTATTGGAACTATTGTGGAGCTAAACCCAAAGTTGACAAAGCTAAGAATGACAATAGGAGTGAAATAAGGCCACAACTAAATGTTCTGAAGACTTCAAACCGCTTTTTACCCCTTTCTGAAACAACAAAGCCGCTAACAACTGCAGCGCCTCCACCAAGGACAAACTGTATCCTTATCGGAGATGGTTCGGTGAAAAATGTAAACATGGAGTCCATGCTCACTGTCTCAGTTCACTCTGCAAAAGTTGCTGAGATAAGGTCTCTTCTGCCTAAAGTGTTATCTGAGAACAGTGGTGTGCGTACATTATTGATCCACACGGGGGCGGTAGATACCTATGAGAAGGCAAGCGAGAAGTTACGAATGGATTTAACGCTGTTACTGGATGACCTCAAGAAAATGGACATAACAATTTTTCTTAGTGGACCACTTCCAAATATAGATGGAAGAATGGAGAAGTTTAGCCGTCTGTATCAGCTAAATACATTCCTACTCAATGAGTGTTCACGCAGAGGACTTGGCTTCATTGAAAACTTTAACCTGTTCTGGAATAGGCACGAGCTTTTTGAAGAAAAAGGCCCACATCTGAACAACTACGGAGTAAAAGTGTTGATGGACAACTTTGCATCTGCCCTAAGACCTCAGCCTGCGCAGCGCGTGCAGCCGTCGAAAGGGAGAAAGAAGAAGCAAAGGGCACAGACATCACGACC